AAAAAAAAATGCCCGGGGCACACACCAAGGAGAGATGGGTGTGACTCTTCTGCTTTTGTTTGTTTGGATCCAGTCAGAAGATCTCTGTCTTTTAACTGGACCATTTAGGTGACTTACACTTAGTATAATTACTGAACATATCTGGGCTTAAATGTTCACCACTTTACTATATGCTTTCTGCTTGTTTCACCTGTTCTATGTTCCTTTTTCTTTCCTTCATCCTTTTCTGGAATGATTCAGTATCTTGTTTGTTTGTTTGTTTGATCTCCCTGCCCCTGTAAGCCTGAGAGACAGCAATAAGGAAAAAGGCAAAGAAACACAGGGAAGGATGAAGAGGGAAAAGACAGAGGGACATGACCAGGAAGCGGTGGCCCTGATGAAGAAGCCCCAAGGGAAGCAAAGCCAAGTCCTCCTGGCCTGGCCTCTGCTTTGGGGCTGGAGTCTGATAGCCAAACACCCACCTCTCTCTACCAGGGAGTCTGGGGGAGGCCCACAGAGACTTATGAAAGGCCAATGCGAGCAATATGGGTGGGATGCACTATAGGAGGAAACTTGCCCAGAAAGAGCCCTGGCTCTTGGCTGGCTCCTGGGAGGGAACCTGAAGCCCTTGGAACGTCCTGCCTAAAAGAGTGTCTTTGTTCACCTAGGACCTTGGACTGTGCTGACAGTGTGACTCATGGTGAGGCCTCGGGCCACACGCTAGCAGCCTGACCTCTCTGCAGGGGCTGGAGACTGAGTAACGAAGGTCGGTCACACAGATGCTCCATGCCTACGTGACCAGCCCCCAGTAAAAACCCAGGACACTGAGGCTCAGTGAACTTCCCTAGTTGGCAACACTCCATGCATGTTGTCACACATCAACGCCGGGAGAAATAAACACTGTCTGCATGACTCCATTGGTGGAGACAAATTGGAAGTTCCATGCCTTTTCCCCTGGCTGATTTTAATCTCTATCCTTTAATTGTATTAAGTCATAACTGTGAGTAGGACAGCTTTTCTGAGTTCCTGGAGTCCTTCTAGCAGATCACTTGAGGTGAGGGTGGTCTTGGGGGCCCCTGAACTGAAGATGAGTGGGTGTGTGCATAGGCTTCTCCCACCAAAAAGCCCCGCCACTGGCAATTCTTCCAAGCCTTCCCTCCAGAGCCACGTGAGGAACGATATAACGCCTACATACAGAGGGAGCTTCCTGGGGCTGGAAGTAACCAAGCCTGGAATGTGCCGAGACCCAAACTCCAGGGGAAGGGGCTGGGCAGGAAGGCCCTTCTAAGGCTCTCTTAAGCCAGGAGCTGAGGCCCTGATCCCAGCTTGGCAGAACCTCGGACTCAGACCCTCTGTGGTCTGACCGTGGATGTTTTTCTGTCCGAGCAGCAGAGCTGCGTCCGGTGAACAGGCCGAGAACACAGCTGGGAAGTGAGGCGGTGGGCTTTTCTGCCCATGTTCCCTCTCAGAGCAGAGCACTGACCAAGCATCTTCACACCCGGGGCAGGAAGAGGTATCCGCGCACCTGCTCCTTCAGTGATGGAGCACACACGGCAAATCAAGCGTCAGGGGCTGGCTGTGCTATTGGGCACCACCCCAGCCCCCATGAGCAGACACATGGCCCCATCCTCTCATTTGGAGGCAGGGGACCTGCTCTCCACTCCCCCACCCTCATGGGGACCAGGGGAGAGGTGGGTGGGGTCTTCAGGTGGACTATGAGAGATTAAATGAAAGAGCAATGAACAAAGCCTCTGCTCACCACCCCTACGCCCCTGCCACTGCTTCATCTGTCTGCAGAGCCCTCGGCACCAACTGCCTTCCCATATCTGCTGCTGTCACCATCTGCGTGACCACGAGGCTGCGCACCACATGAGAGCAGGAACTCTCATCCGTTTTGCCACCTGCTGGACCCACACAGGACGTTCGGCGAACATTTGTTCAAAAATGAATGAACCAAACACTCACGCATCCCCTCTCCCGAAAGCTGGCAAGTTGGGGCAGCCTGGGCTCTACCACACGGAGCCCTGGTTCTCCCAGGGAGGGGCTGTGTGCCCCCCACCTTCCACCGTGGGAACTGGGCACTCACCTGTGAGATCTCCAGGCACGGCAGCTTGCCCACCTGGGCACCAGTGAAGCCATATACAGAGTTGGCGCTCACTTTGAGCGCCAGCTGCCGCCCATCCAACACCTGCCGACGCAGGGGGTCTGTCTCTTTGGCCAGCTCAGCCTTGGCCCTGGAGAGAGAGGAAGCACAGGCCACTGAGGCAGCGTCCCATATCTCAGGGAAAGATAAGAGGCCCTGGCCTGGGCACTGGTCAAGGTGCCTTTCTAGAAATGGGTGCCATGTACAGTTGTGCAGGCTGTGTACTACACAGAGGTGTCCAGCAGAGGGGGCAAAGGGGAGCCATCTGGAGGGGTGTCTTGTTCTAATTCATACACCGTGGCAGTTAATGTGTGGCGCGGCAACCCTGGGGTGACCCACGAGAGACAGACTGGTGAGGAGCCTCAGCAAGTTTGAGCTCTGAGAAGGGGTGGGTGGGGCACTCAAGAACCCACCTCTTCCGGGCGCTGAGAAGGTTCTCCAGGATCTGGGGCAGGAGGCCCTTCCGCACTGACGTCTTCACAAACTCATCCCCTGTGGGCGTCTTGATGAACTGATCCTCTGTCAGGCTGAGGCGGAGGACGCCGGGGGGTGATGCCCAGCCTCCCCACCTCCTCCCCTCGAGACCCCCTCAGGCTCTCCCCACCTCTCAAGTCTCTCCTCCACTCCCCTTCCCATCTGGGTCCCGGGCCTGGGGTCCCCAAGATGAAAAAGGTGCCATACCCCAGTTTCTGGGCGGCCCCGGGCCGCAGGAGTGTGGTGTAGCACAGGTTGTGGGCCATCATGATGGACGGGTACAGAGAGGAGAAGTCTAGTGTGGTGATGGGGACATCGTAGTACCTGGGGGGGAGGGGGCGGGGGGGAGGGGAGGAGTCAGGGCCGGAAGCCCCGAGCCACCCCCACCCAGACACGGGGTCATACCCTTTGAGGGGCTCGATGACTGTGGCTCCCGTGTAGTCCTCGACACCTTCTGTCTTTACCACGGGCATCAGCAGCCCCTCGCGCATGGCCTGGGAGGGGAGAAGGTGGAAAATGGAGGCAGGCCCAGGTGGGGCAGCGCGTCAGGTGTCGTGGCCCAGAAGCCACAGCGAGTGACTGAGTGACCAAGTGACCAGAGGCTGGGAGCGGGGACGTGCCAGAGCACTGGGATGCCCACCCTCAGCTCCGCCCACTGACCTGCCGCAGCAGCTGGGACACGACCTTGACCTGCTGGCCGCGGGTGAGCAGATAGCCAAGGGGCACACCGGTGACGCGCGCCATTTCCATGGCGTTCACCAGCACCATGAGCCGCTCCAGCAGCCGCAGGGGCAGGAAGGCGTCCTTGAGGCAGTACACGGCCAGGCGGCGGCGTGTCTGGTCGTTCCCGTTCTGGGGACAGGCATGGAGGGCATCAGGGGGTGGGGGGGCAGCCGTGAGGGCTCAGGGGTCAGGGAGAGGGCGAGGGTCTGGGTGCGGAGTGGGCAGAGCTGGGGGTTGGGGAGTTGCGGGGTCAGAGGAAAAGCGAGCAGTCTGATGGGCGAGTGTGGGCTAGAGGCGGGGGCAGGACAAGGGAATAAGGTCACAGTGCCAGAGGTTACATGAGGAGTCACATCTGCCAAGTGAGGTCACAGATCAGAGGCAAGAGGTTAAGGTGAGAGTCGGGAGAACAGCTGGGAGATCACAGCCCAAGGTCAGGAAGGTGGGCTGCTGGGGTCAGAGAATTAGACGGAAGAGTAAGATCAGAGGTCGGGGGCAGGGAGCGGAGGTGTGAGGTCGGGGCAGGCGGGAGGGGGGTCAGAGGTCGCAGAAAAGGCACCTGCAGGTCAGTGATGATGCTGTGCTGGACGTCCTCTTTCTGCTCGCCCAGGAAGTGGAAGCTCACGGCGTTGAGCGTGTAGGAGCGGAGCTTATACTCTCGCAGTAACACCTGCAGTGGGGAGGGGGAGCGGGGGCGCAGGGTGGGCCCAGGGCCCGGGCAGCAGCCCCACGAGGGCGGGCACCCTCCCGGCCCCGCACGCGTACCTGCAGCATGTCCATCTGCACGCGGCCCACCATGCTGACCACCTTGCTGTCCCGCCGGCCGGTCTGCTTGGACTGGAAGGACGAGTCCCGGATGGTGGAGCGGAGGCCAGACACGCGGCCCAGGAAGGGGAACGACTCCACCTGGGGACACAGCACCAGGGAGGGGCGGAGGCTGCAGTGGGCAACGGCCGGCCCGGATCTGGGACCTCTGGGGCCGTGCCAAAGGAATGCAGACCACACGAGCCACCACCACGACACCCGCGACGCCACCCTCTTCCTGCTGGGAGCTGGGGCTGAGCGGGCCGAAGCAGGTGGAGCTCTGATGCAGAAAGACGCTCTGGGGCTGGGTAGGCATGGACTGCAGGGAGACAGGAGGTCAGGACGGCTGCAGGGCTGAGGGGGGCAGGCATGGTGCTCAGTGGCTGGGGTGCTGCACCCAGATGGGCAGCAGAGGAAGAACAGATTCGGGGGCGATGCTGAACTGAGTGGGGGGAGGGGCCTGGGGGACAGTTAGGTGGGCGCACAGCAGGGGGCAGCACAGAGAGCTGGGTCTGAGGCCAGGACAGGAGGTGGCATGAGAGGGACAGGGTAGAGAGCGGAGGCCTGAGCTGGAGAAGTAGCAGGGCAGGGGTGCAGAGGACAGGGGAGCAGTGTATCCACGTATAAATGCCAGACTGAGAGGGATGGACTCCTTCCCGGAACTCTTGGGGGCCATAAACACAATTTTAAAAAATTATTTTTAACGTTTATTTACTTTTGAGAGAGACAGAGAGAGAGAGAGAGAGAGAGAGAGAGAGAGAGAGAGAGAGAGAGAGAGAGAGAGACAGAGCACGAGCAGGGGAGGGGCAGAGAGAGAGGAAGACACAGAATCCGAAGCAGGGTCCTGGTTCTGAGCTGTCAGCACAGAGCCCGACACGGGGTTTGAACCCACGAACCGAGATCATGAACTGAGCCGAAGTCGTAAGCTTAACTGACTGAGCCACCCAGGCGCCCCACAATTTTTTAAAATACGTATATTTTTATTCACAAAAACAAACTCAAAATGGATAAAGGACCTGAATGTGAGACAGGAAACCATCAAAACCCTAGAGGAGAAAGCAGGAAAAAACCTCTCTGACCTCAGCCACAGCAGTTTCTTACTTGACACATCCCCAAAGGCAAGGGAATTAAAAGCAAAAGTGAACTATTGGGACCTTATGAAGGTAAAATCTTCTGCACCGCAAAGGAATCAACAAAACTAAAAGGCAACCAACGGAATGGGAAAAGATATTTGCAAATGGCATATCGGACAAAGGGCTAGTATCCAAAATTATCTATAAAGAACTCACCAAACTCCACACCCGAAAAACAAATAATCCAGTGAAGAAATGGGCAGAAAACACGAATAGACACTTTTCTAAAGAAGACATCCAGATGGCCAACAGGCACATGAAA